AGAGTGGCGATTTTTGCGCAGCAGACGAGCCACCGCCACGTGAACCGCGACCATTCTCGAAATAGACAACGCGGACAGAATTTTATAACGTGCCCCGTTGCGTCACCGTTACGCCATGCTTTTCTATAAAGCCCGATCGTTTCCCGTCCACCGCTCAGAACGTCTCCCGAGATGATCGACCAAGGCTCGCGACGCGCGCTCTCACTTGGAGAAGATCCTCTTCCACGGCGCCGTACTCCATGTCGATTAATTTACGAGCTCGATGACATTACACGTTGAAATTCCTGCCAGAACGCTGTTCGCGGCGCGGTAGAATCTGCCGCGTGGGAGGTCACTTGGACGAGAATTTCGCGTACAACTATGTTTGGCGTGTATCGAAATTCGTGTCAAGGGGAACCGTCCTGTGCTTTTCCTTTTTGCTGTTGCGTTATTTTCGGACGGAGACAGTTGGTTAGATTGAAAAGAATAACTCGTGTATTTCGTTCGATCGAATAGGTTGTAAAGGATGAATTTGTCGGTGAAGTGGGCTCGTGTACGTCTCTGACATCACTTACCGAAACTCGAGACCACCTTTCGCCGGAAAATGGAGGAACTCTCGCGCGGATCCGAGATCGTGCTCGATCGAACTAACACGCGAAACGGGTTCCACGATTATTCTTCGCGGTTAGGCCTTTCGTTCGCCTCCAATTGACTGACTCTAATAAAAGACGGGGAAGCGGTTCTCGGTTGTCTGGACACCACTCGATCCGTGGTGGGAGCTTCGACAAGAAATCAAAATAGATTACCGACCGGCCGCAGGTACGATTAGACGCGCGATTTCCGGTTGGAACAACACCAATTCGGACGTGTTACGTTGCTAAGAAACTGCGGCAGCTGACGTTTCGCAGCCTCCCGCCTTCCGACAGAGCTCTCGGAAAAATTCCACAAAATTCCTATTTCTCCCCGATTAACTCTTCGAGAACGATGAAAGTTTCTTAAATAAAATGATCAAATTCATTATCTCATGTGTGTGACCGGCGAAGAAAATCGATCGTGTAAGCAGCCAGGGTTATTAGTCAGCGGTGGATTGAGATAAAAGGGTCGCGTGTTTTGGCCAATTCGCGGCGTTTCTGCAACATAATTCACATTGCGCAGTGGCCACGATGACGAAGAGGCACGTACCATGTTCGCCTCCTCGTATCCTACCCGATTCCTATTTCCGTCCATCTAAATAAAGCCGAAAGCGGCCCAGTTCCCGCGAGACAACGCGATTGCGCGATACTTAATATGATTATGTTCCAGATATTTTAAGAGCAGCCAGATTGTTTACGGTCCGCTCTGTCGAGGAACTCTACGTGTATCTCGTGGGAAGCCCGGGTATTTCAACGGAGAAGAACATTTTTTTCGATCAGATAGACGAATATTTAAGAACGAAAGAAAGAATTCCTCGTTTTCAGGAGGAATTTATTCCAACGATCGTCGCGGTCTCGTCAACGTCGACGATAAATCGCTGGTAAGCTCGAGCGCGACGCCCGCGTAAAGTTACGGGTAGTAAAACGGACGAAGCTTGGCACGAACCGCGATTTATGCGCACCTTGACAGCTGACTGTGCACATTTGGGTCACCGGTGAGATTTCAGGTTTTCTTAATGCCGCCGCCGCGATAAAAATGCCTTCGTGAACGAGCACGCGGACTTTTGCGAGACAGTACCATAAATGGCAATAGCCGGTACTTCTGGCGCTAACCAGGGATTCATACGAGACTGAGAGTGTCGAATTTACCAAAAGGATCGTTTTTATCGTCGAAGAATAAACGATAAATAGTTAAAAAGAAGAATTAGTTCTCGTTTCCTATGAGCGATTCGAACAGTTCCCGCGTTAGAATTGATAAGTACGTAGCCAAGTTGGCGGAGTGCCACCGTCGATAAAGGAGATTTCAGTAGATAAAGGCGTTCTACCGCGGACGAGAAGCTACGGTCGATCACTGCGTTGTTAACGCCGGGTGGTAAGCTGTCTGACCAGGTACGGTCGATACTACTGATTTCATCTCATTTATTCAATCTACTATCGCTTACACGTTGCTGTGAATTGTCGTCGATCCAATTACTGAACGAGAAAAGGAATAAAAAAAAAGGTACTCACTTCGTCGCAAGCAGCGCACCTAGGTTTCAATTGTTCGGCGTAATGCCTCTCACAGTAGAGCGTGTCGTCGTGTACGCAGTAGGCGAGATCTACGAGGAGTTCCTTGCACTCTGTGCACCGAAAGCAGGCTGGATGATAAAGAAGATCCAATTTGCTCGCTGATACGGCCAGACTGCCGTACTTTAATGGCGTGTGGCATGCGCCACAATCCTTAGAACAGATTAAAACGCGTTACGTTTAATACTTGCTTGATTCTTTACCAACTTTTTAACGGAAAATTTGATTTTATTCGAAGGAAAACTCACGACGTCTATCTCGAAGACTGGCTGCACGGTACCAATGTCCAACGCGATCTCGTTCCTCGCGGCCATGAAGTCATCAGCACTGCTGGCGTGATCCGGGTCCAAGTGGCGGCAATAAGCCCTGGCTAAGTCCTGCTTAGGCAGTTGAATCGCCAATTGCCGGTCCCTGTATCGTTCTCCAGGCGTGCCTAGCCTCGGCACGGATATCTCTGGCAGCATCGAGAAGTATTCCTCCACCTGTAACCACGGGGAATCGAAGGTCGTTATCCGGCGAAACGATGAAATGTCTCTCCCTGGTTTAGCGCAGTAAAAATATCGTAAAACCGAGTGGGCAACAGGAAGAAACGTGTGCGATAAAGCATCCGCTGGTGATAAAGAACAACTGCTCCACGTTTCCACGTTAATTTATGCCTCGAGTCTTTGGAGAATATTTCAAACTGGAAATTTGCCAAGCTACTTAAAGAGGGAACTTGCTCTTTTGTCTTTTATCCGATCGATGCTCTTCTTCAGCCTGTAGATATCGCAAGACTTTCCCAGAAATTCCAAGTAATTTAAAAGAAAAGAGAAATTCACCAAAGTTATCCAGAGTATGAAAATGGCCAATCTCTCGTTTCCAACCAAAGTATCCACGGAGGAATTGCATCGTTACCACGTAATCGACGCAATTAATCTCCGGAGGAATTGTTGAATTTGCCGTGTCACGAGCGTTTATTGAATCTTCCTGACTCGAGCCACGCGTAACGGAACAGGAAGCGATTTTACTGCGCCTCGAAAACGAACGTTTACGAACCGGCGTGTTACACACCTTGTACGCCGGCAATCCTGGAGGAGCCCATGCCAAACCCTTGGATCGAGGGACGTCCGTGGACGTGGATTCGTCGCCTTTCAAGCCCAAACGAGACCTCACCGACACCCATTCCTCGTGGCACACATCGTGCGCCTCCCGGGGACACTTGCAGCTCGTGCAGTTCTTTCTGAAAAAGGGAAAAGAATCTGGTGAGTCTTGTCGTGTAGACTTCGTACAGGCATGCATCATTCATGATACGGCCAGGAATCTCTCCCCGTGGTATCGAGCAACGAGATTAATGTCGCCCGCCCGCCCGTTTAGGAAACTAAACCTCTCTGTCGCCCTATTCAATCTAGAGCGGACAACGCATCGTCGACGGGCTCACTCTGTCTAACGTGTCTATTAAACCCGAGGATATCACCGACGCTAAATATTTGTCCCTGGTCTTTCATTAACGCAGGATACGCCTCGAAGAGAGGAGCGTTTAATCGAGTTTTATTGCGCTCGAGCGGAA